TGAGCGTGGGGGATCTTTTCAACCGGTATGTACAAGCCCCCCCGGTTTTCCGGAGCGGGGGGGGTGTTCGAACCGGTAGTGACCACTCTGGTTTTCTCGGGGTGGGGGGAGGGGTTTGAAGGTAGTGACCCCCCCGTTTTTCGGAGGGGGGGCCTTGAACCGGTAGTGACCCCCCCCCGGTCTTCAGGAGGGGGTGGGTAGGGGAGGGGGGGGCGGGGGGGAAGGGGGGGGGGTCCAGCAGGGGGGGATTTTCGAATGGGGGGGGCGCCCCTTGGGTTCCGGAGGAAGAGGGGGGGAATTTTCCACAGAAAAGCGGCGGTGGATCACACTCTGTCATACGTATATATGGCTAGGTACAGCAGTGCGCGTACACATACAAACACACACGTGATCTATATATGTGTATATATACATATGAAGTATATGTATATACATCTCGGATTACCGGTGTATAGACAATTATATATATATGTATATATATATACACCTGGGTACAATATAAACATATACGTCTATAGAACACAAAACTCGCCAGGGGGCGCCCTCAGCACAAGACCGCCTCAACACAAACTCTGCAACTGCTGCGTCGGGCAATCTCAAAGACGTGCGAGGTTGGAGTGCCGAGAAGTGCTGGGGAGGAGGGTGGCGTGCCCAAAAGTGCCGAGGAGTGCCTAGGAGGGCGGAGTGCCGAGGAGTGCCGAGGAGGGTGGAGTGCCGAGGAGTGCCAAGGAGGAGGGTGGAGTGCCGAGGAGTGCCGAGGAGGAGGGTGGAGTGCCGATGAGTGCTGAGGAGGGTGGAGTACTAAGGAGTGCCGAGGAGGGTGGAGTGCCGATGAGTGCCGAGGAGGGTGGAGTATCGATGGATACCAGATTCTTAGAAAAGAATCTTAGGAATCCTTCCAACTCCTCGGAATTCAAAGGGTTTGCTAGGTTCCGGAAACGGAATCCTAACGAATCCGAGGAGCCTCGCAAAGGCTTCTCAGGAGCCTCGCAGAGGCCTCTCAGGAGCTTCTACGAGGCCCCTCAGGAGCCTCGTAGAGGCCCCTCAGGAGCTTCATAGAGGTCTCGTAGAGTCATCGTAGAGAAGCATCGTAGAGGCCTTACGATGCCCTTCTGCGACGAGTAAGATTTCTTGACGTTTTTGAAAAAGAAGCCGGGGAATAAACCACTTGGACTGGGGAATGCTCCGTTCCACCGGTGTATGTACCATCGAACCAGTGTTTACAATTCGATCGGCCGCGGGGTGGGTCGCGGATTGGTCGCGGGATGGGCTGCGGGGTGGGGCGACGACAATAACAACAACAAGCAACAGCAATAATCCGCGTCGCGGAGTCCCAAATTCACCCCGCACCCTGGGATGGTGTAAGACCGTTGAGCCCCTTCACTTTGACCGATACTGCTGCTCCACAGATCTCGCCCGCGGTGCGTTCTAACCAGAGTTTCCAGGCGCATCCAGCCGTGGCGACGAGTGCCTCCCAGGAGGCTCAAAAAGGCGCAATCGAAAGGAGGGTCATGGCATCGGTGCCTGTTCCTCCACTGAAGAACACCCCTCTGCGCCGATCTTGGGCGCGATCGGGCAGCCGCATCCAGCCGCTAGACCGGTATCGGTCGGCACCCAGGCCACTCCGAGGCGATCTGGGGGATCCATTGAGTACCAACGATCGGCAGGGTGCTCGCCGCTTCGGGCTCGGTCGACCATGATTGATCGCGACCCTGATCCATCGGTCGGAGGAGGAGAACGTACCCATACCTCTACCCCCTCGCCCGTTTTCCCCTTTTGGGCCTCCTGGGAGGCCCTCGTCGCCACCGCTGGATTCGCCTCTAAATTCTGGTCAGAACGCACCCCGGGAGAGGTCCGGGGAGTAGCGGTATCGGTGCATTTTGGTTTCCCCAATCGGGGATCGTGACCATGATCGAATGTGATCGTGATCGATCTACCTACGTTGAGGGCGTTCGATAAGGAAGCTTCAGACCCTGGAGGATTCCTTCTATGCTGAGGGCGGCAGTGGTACACATGGTCTGTCCACGACTGGAGTTCCACAGGCTCCCCTACCCTGGATTCCTTCTCCAATGGCTCCTTCTCCAATCCACTCACCATAACCGCTGAAGGTCTTTAGTCTTGCCCCGCCCCCTTTCTCTCGGCCGTGAATAGAACTGATCCTAAAACCTCTTCCTCCTCCTCCTCCTCCTCTTCCTCCTCTCGTCGGTGGCGTTTCGGTCCCTCGGCTCTTCTGCCAATGATATATCATATCAGCACGTCGCAGCAAGCAGGAGTAATATTTAATCGCTTCGCTCATTCCGCCGGCCCATGATGAGGCACCGCGGTCGATTGGGCGAGAGGTCGTCGGCAGCGCGGAGCTGCAGGGGTCGGCGCATGTTTTTTTTCTGAGGCGTTGCGTTCGGGATGGTGGTGTTGAAGCTGCCCCCGCGAAACAGCTTCGCGTCGACCTTCTGAGGAGGTGTCGGGGGAATCGTTGTTTCCACGGGGCTTTGGGTTGTGCCGCTCTGGGTGTCCCTGGCGCCTTTGTGGGGGCTCGTTGCTCGTGGACGCTCATGCGGGGGCCATAAACACAGTGTAGCTGTTGCGACAGGTATGCCCCTCGACGTGAGAGGGAAAAGAGAGAAAGAAAGAGAGAGAGAGTGGCGGCTCTTGGGGCCTCTTGGGGGCCTCTTGGGGCGTCCTGGATGCCTCTTGGAGCGGAAGGCTCTGATTTTCGGTTCGTGGTCTCCATCTTGGGCTCCTCTTGGGGCCCTCTTGGGCCGTCTTGGGCGCCTTTGGGGCTGTCTTGAAGCTCTCTGGGGCTCTCTTGGGGGCCTCTTGGGCTGTCTGGGGGTGGTCTTGGAGGCTTCTTGGGGGCCTCTTGGGCCGTCTTGGAGTGTCGGAAAGGCGAAACGGAAGCCAAACACCTTCAGAAACCTAATGGAAATCACTGAGTTGTGCCTCTTGGGGCTCCGTTTTGGAGCCTTTTGGGGTCTCTTTCGGGCCTCTTGGCGCCTCTTGGGGCCTCTTGGGGGCCTCTTGGGGCGTCCAGGAAGCGTCTTGGAGCGGAAGGCTCGGATTTTCGGTTCGTGGTCTCCATCTTGGGCCCCTCTTGGGGCCCTCTTGGGCGCCTTTTAGGCTGTCGTGGAGCCCTCTTGGGCGGTCTTGGGGCTCTCTTGGGGGCCTCTTGGGCCGTCTTGGGGTGGTCTTGGGGGCCTCTTGGGCCGTCTTGGAGCGTCGGAAAGGCGAAAAGGCGAGGAAGCCAAAAACTTTCAAAAACCTAAGATAATCATTGATTTTTGTGTCTTGCGGCTCGGTTTTGGAGCGTTTTGGGGTCTCTTTCGGGCCTCTTGGCGCCTCTTGGGGCCTCTTGGGGGCCTCTTGGGGCGTCCTGGATACCTCATGGAGCTGAAGGCCCGGATTTTCGGTTCGTGGTTTCCATTTTGGGCTCCTCTTGGGGCCCTCTTGGGCCGTCTTGGGCGCCTTTTGGGCTGTCTTGAAGCTCTCTTGGGCGGTCTTGGGGCTCTCTTGGGGGGCTCTTGGGCCGTCTTGGGGTGGTCTTGGGGGCTTCTTGGGGGCCTTTTGGGCAGTCTTGGAGTGTCGGAAAGGCGAAACGGAAGCCAAACACCTTCAGAAACCTAATGGAAATCACTGAGTTGTGCCTCTTGGGGCTCCGTTTTGGAGCATTTTGGGGTCTCTTTCGGGCCTCTTGGCGCCTCTTGGGGCCTCTTGGGGGCCTCTTGGGGCGTCCAGGAAGCGTCTTGGAGCGGAAGGCTCGGATTTTCGGTTCGCGGTCTCCATCTTGGGCCCCTCTTGGGCGCCTTTTAGGCTGTCTTGGGGCCCTCTTGGGCGGTCTTGGGGCTCTCTTGGGGGCCTCTTGGGCCGTCTTGGGGTGGTCTTGGGGGCCTCTTGGGCCGACTTGGAGCGTCGGAAAGACGAAAAGGCGAGGAAACCAAAAGCCTTCAGAAACCGAATGGATAATCATTGATTTTTGCCTCTTGTGGCTCTCTTGGGAAGGGTCGGGGCTCTCTTGGGACGTCTTGGAGGCCTCTTGGGCCGTCTTGACGCCGTGTTGGGCGTCTTGGGCCGATCGTTCGGTGATTCGGAGCCCTCTTGGACCGTCTTGGGGGCCTCTTTTGGCCCTCTTGGCGCGCTCCGGGGGGCGTGGACGGCCGCACCCAGGAGGGAAACCATCTCTGAGTAATAGTTCCCGGGCTGCGGTCGGGGTACTTTTCGCCGGGGGACCCCCAGGATCCGCCCCGCGCGCGCGAACTAGAATTATTGTTTAACCAGTTACCGGAGATCTTAGCATGCCTCTGGCCCGCTGGGCCGGCGAATGTTATAGCAGAGAGAGTGGATCATTGTTCTTGATTGTCCAGCCTCCGTGAGCAAGCACGCAAGCAAGGTCCTCCTCCTCCTCCTCCTCCTCCTCCTCCTGCTCCTCCTCCTCCTCCTCCTTATGGTCGTAGTCGCCATCGCAGTCGTAGCTGTCGTCGTCGCTGTTGCGCGGCGGGTGTGCCCATGAGGCCACGCAGTGGGAGCTGTCGTCGAGCGGCATCCCGTGGTTCCGGTGGCAGGCCGCCTGGCCCGCGGACGCGGGGTCGCCGGGGCGGCCGCAGGCCACCAGCGCAGGCATTCGAGCAGTGGCGAAGCGTCTTGGCCTGCCGAAGAAGGTTCTAAGAACCGTTCTGTGGTCTGCACGACATGTCTTAGAACATGTCTGGCTGAGGCTGTCTTGCCTTACCCCTATCGAGGTTCTGTGCTAAGAACATGTTATCTGAGATTGGAACGCTTCTGGGTTCTACGAATATGTCGTGGTAGGCTTATAGGAATGCCGGGACGGCCGCTCCCTGCTCAAGGCATGGCGTTCCACTTCCTGGACACGGACAGGACTGCGGCCACGCGTAGAGGGGGGCGCACGCTCAGAGGAGGACATGGTGCCCATACCTCTACCTTTCCCTTCGTTTTCCTTTCCTGGGGCCTTCAAATTCTTGTCAGAACGCACCCCGGGAGAGGTCCAGGGAGTAGCGGTATTGGTACCTATTGGCCTCCCCAGTGCGTTGGGGGCTTTCGTTGAGGAGTGTGCCGAGGAGGTTTCAGACCCTGGAGGCTTCCTTATATAATGGGGGCGGCGGCGATGGCCATGGCCAATCCACGATGGGAGTTCCACTGGGTCCCAGGCACTTGATTCCATGTTCAATGGTTCCTCATCCAATGCCCCCCCGTAGGGGGAGGGGGGGACGGTTTCTTAGAAGAACCCCTGCTTCTTAGAAGGCGCAGGCCTGATCTGTAGATGTAGGACCGGCGCCTTCTAAGAAGCAGGCCCCTTCTAAGAGGCCTTCCGCCCTCTCCCTACCCCCTTGTGCGCGCCGCCAAGGAACGGCCTCATCTCCCAATCGGAGTTCAACAGGGGGTACGATGGTGACGTTCATTGGTCAATCTCGTCGCCTGCACAGCCGGTGGCCCTCACCCCTGTTGGCCTTGACGCGCCCACGAGCACCAGCGAAGCCGGCTCGGTCCGTGGATGGGCACCCCTTGGTATGGCAGGCCCTCTGGGGGACATACAGCAGGGCAAGACTGAGGTTCAGTCTCTGATTTCCGTGTTTGTTTGCGCCCTCTTCGTGCTCATGCTTGGATCGATCTGGCTCGTCTACGTCATGCCCGCAGGCAGCGCGAGGAAGACGCGGTCGGCGCACATCAGCGCCTCGGACTGCAGCTCCGGCCGGGCCACCAGCGGCGGAGTCGCCGGCGCGGCGTGGCCCCAGCTGGAGCTACAGGCGGGACCCCGGCGCGACGGAGCCCTGGCCAGCCCGCGTGCGTGGAGGACCGGGGGGCGGACCTGCCAAATGCCAGGGGGGTGTCGCCTCCCCCAAGATCACCCGAGGCCCCCCCGCCCTGAGATCCGGGCGCTGCATTGTTCACAGAGGGCGTCTTCGCCCAGTTTCGGGCCCGGGGGCCAGCGCAGGTCGACCTGGGCCGAGAAAAGGCGCGGGAAGCTCGGGGCTGTCGTGGCTGCTGGGTGTCGCCGTGTTGCTGCAGCGTCGGGCCTCTGGGTTGCCACCTGTCGGGGGGTGGCCACCCGCCGAGGTCACTGCAGGCCCCCAGAGGGGGGAGGGGGAGGGGGAGGGGGAGGAGAAGGAGGAGAAGGAGGAGGAGGAGGAGGAGGAGGTTCGACGCCACAGGCAGCCAGCGATAGGAGCGTTCGTACATCCAGGCGCAGTTCCTCGGGTGCGGCCCCCCGGTGGCCGTCATGAACCAGGACCGTCAAAGATTTGCCGGGGACGACACCGTCCCCGAAGGAAGGGGCCAGGACCTCCCCTGGGATCCCCCCAACACTGTAAGCAGCACGACTGGAGCCACATGCCCCCTCTTTCTGCGTCCTTTCTCCAGCCGGATCGATCCGTGAGGGCTCCGGGGCCGCAAACACCCGTTTACGAAGACAAGGGACCGCTGGGATCTCAGGGCCTGCAGGCCGCGGGGTCAACATATGATACCGTCGGGCGCCACGGGAGTTCCCCTGAGGCCCCCGCCCCGCGGGGAGCCGCCGTCGCCGCGGCCCCTCCGCCCAGCGGCCCCGCCGCAGGCGGCGGCCACGCCCCAGCCGATGAGCCCGCCTCCCGCGGGCGGCGGCGAGCGCCGCCTCGCCCTCGCCGGGCTGCGGGCGGGCCTCGGCGCCGCGGCGGGGCAGCTGCGGCAGGCGCGCGGAGTGCCCCGATGCGATCGCGCCGCGAGCCACGCACGACGGCCGCTTCCGGCCTCTGGGGGGGGCCCTCGCCGGGCCCCGGGGCCGACACGAAGACGACTCGCGGGGTGAACAACTGGCCTGGGGAGAGTCTGCACGGACGAAATGGGCACGGAAAGGATGGGTACGATGCCCAGCAGCGGATCTGTTTCATTTTGAACCGGATTCGCTGTCCGCGCCGCCGCGGCCTGTGTCCATTCGAGGCAGAAGGCCGCCTGCCCAACAGCGGCCGCTGTTGGTTTGGGACAACATCTGTTGTTGGGTATTGTGCCCATTCTTTCCGTACCCATTTCGGGCGCCCAAAGCAGACGACTCGCTGGTTGAACAACTGGCCTGGGGAGAGGGTCGGCAATTCCAGGGACCGCGTACTGGAAACATCAGGGCGCTGCGTGTTTGGGGGCGGGATGCGCTCGGAGGGGGAAGAGGTGCCGAGACCCATGGGATCCCGGCGTCGCATCTCTGCCGCATCGTGCGCTTTTGCGCCTTGCTTCGGGCCGCCCGGGGTCCTCACGGATCGATCCCGCTCGAAAAACGCAGGGGAAAGATTGGGTTTGGTGCCCTGGTTGGGATTTTGCCACGATGCTGCAGTGTGTCTTGACGTCGGACCTCGGGGCTGCTGCTCGTCCTAAAGGGCCCTCGTTGCCACGGCCAGGTGCGCCTCGGCATTCAGGTCAGCACGTGCCCTGGGAGAGGTCTGGCGAGCAGCGGCACCCGCACAGTGGACGCATGGAGACGTCGTCGCATCGGCACGCGCCCCCACAGACGTGTCTTCCCCCCCCCAAGCCCCATGGACCCGCAGCAGCTCTGGACACCTTTGGGCATTCAGCTTCCTCTCGGTGGAAGCTGGAGCACCTACGTTGCCAGGGTCGGGGACGACGTCGGGGCGGTGTGGTGCATTCTTGTTTTATCCGTCTTCCAGGGAAACTGCGGAAAATGTACACACCAGGGGCCCATATACACCAGGACCCGCTTCCTGCTTGCAAATTTCGGCGCAGGGCCTGAACAAAGCGTCGGTGTGTATATATATATATATATATATATATAGACATATATGTATGTATGTATATATATATATAAAGTGCCGTTGTTATACATGCTCCGCGTGCGGATCATGTATCAAACATGCAGGGATTTAGGATTAAAAACATAGATGAGTTCATGTATAAATTCATTCATAAATCAATAATGTAGTAAAAATCCTATGTTCTTTATATAAAAGATCCTCTGTATTAAAAACTGCCCTGTAGAGAGAGAGAGAGAGAGAAAGAAAGACAGTTCGGCTCCCTGCTTCGCGCGTGCCTGCTGCAACCCCTGCCGTCCACCCAGGCACGCGCCGCCGGGCTGCAGCCGTCCCCCTCGCTGTCGCCCCCCTACCGGTACGCGCCGCTGGCGTCGCACGACGGCCGGCCCCACTGACCCGGGGTGGGCAGAACCCCCAACAGTGACACGTCGATTAGTGAATTGTCCGTTTTCGGTTCTCGAGAGGGCGCCGTGGCCGTTGTTTTCCAGGCCTGCGCCCGCCGGGTTTGGGCCTCAGGTCGTTTTCACTAAACCATGTTTTGCTAAAGGGGGGTCTGCCCATCCCGAACTGAACTCGCGGCGCGGGTGGGCGGCGTGGCCGAGCGGCACCCTGTGGTGCCGCTGGGCCGGTGCGCGCTGCGCCTCGCGGCCTCTCCAGACCCACCCCCTCGCGTGGCCTCACAAAAGTCGCGGCGGGAAGCTTTTCGCCATGTTCCGCCTCCGGGGGCCCTTCTCTGGGCCTCGGGGCCGTCGAAACACGACCGAGGATGAAAAACCCGTCCCCGGGAAAGGGTCCAGGCCTGGGTAGGAAACTGGAACATATACATTACCAGTGGCGGGCTGTTTACAATCCCAGGATATCTTGAGGGTCGAGGACGACGCTGGGGTGGTGTGGCGTATACTTATTCCCCGATGTCCCAGGGAAACAACGAAAAATGTATACTCCAGGACCCCATATACACCAGGACCCGCTTTCTTGTGAGAGTTTCAGCGCAGGGCCGGACAAAAGAGATGGTGTATAGAGTTCGGTTCCCTTTTTTGGGGGGGTGACGCTGTGAAAGGGCGTATAACTAGCGTGGCAGCGGCAGCATATGTACGTCCTCAGGAGCCCCGCATCGCAGCATCGCTGCTTAGCGAGTTTGAGAATCTGAATGCTTGTACCAATTCTAGACGCTCCGCGTAACCCTGCCAGCCCATGCAGAAACGATGCCGCCTGGGAGTTGCCTTCATCATGGATGTGCAGGACCACGCAACGGAATAAAGGGCTGGGAAAGCCGTCATACCCCACAAGGGGAGGATGGAGGAGGAACCGGAGGAGGAGAAGCGGGAGAGGGATGAGGGAGGCAGGAGGAGGAGGAATAGGCGGCTGAGGAAGAGGAGGAAGTGGAGGAGGATGAGGAGGAGGAGGATGAGGAGGAGGAGGACGAGCAGGAGGAGGAGGAGGAGGAGGAGCAGAAAGGCCAGAGGGCTCTTAGATGCTTCGGGTGTCTCCTGCGAGCTTCTTAGAGTACTCCTGGGGCATCTTTGAGGCCTCTTAGCGGTCCCGGGGGCCTCTCGGTGCGTCTTGGGTGCTTCGGGGAATCCCCTTGGAGTCTCTTGGGGGTCTCTTGGGAGCCTCCTGGGCGCCTTTTCAGGCCTCCTGGGTGCCTTCAGGGGCACTCTTGGGAGCCTCGATGGCCATCTTCGGGCCATCTTTTAGAATATCGATGAGACAGGGTGGGGTGGGGGGGGAATTAGTGTTGCCCCCCCCCAGACGGTCAACATTGGCCCTAAACAACCTGAGAATAAATCGATGCTCGCCTTCTCGCCGAGGCCTTCTTGGACGCTCCACTGGGTCGCGCCCCCCCCCCCCCCTCCAGACCAAGGAGCAGGGGTTAGAGGGAGGGGTCAAGCTACCCAAAACCAGCACGCCGTCTGGCTCATTCCCACCCGCCTTCCCAACACGCAGGTAGCACCCGAGTCTCAGCATGGACAGTGGCCGCCATCGACATCCATGTGGCACCAGTGCGCCAGGCCCGCGAGGTGCGCCGCTCGTGCCAGCTGCGCCACGCACACCAGGTGCGCCACTTTGGGCAAAATGTCGACCCTCCGACCGACGAGGAGATCAATTTTGGGGTAAATCAGTTCTGTAGTCGATCCTCTGTTTTCGAATGCGAGAGAATGCCACAAACATAAACTCTCGGCGCTCTGCGCGGAATTCCTGGATCCGCGCTGGGACCCCCGGCGGCGCCTCCGGCGCCGTCCCTGGAGCGCTCTGCGCGCCCGGGCGGGGGGTCCAGCTCGGACCGAACGAAAGGGGGGGATAGGGAAAGGGGGGGGGACGAAATCTGTTGCGTGCAGCTGGTCTCAGCCCCACCGAGGGACCCATTCCTTGATACATGGCCGCCTCTGGCGCCGGGAGGCGCCGGGAAAATCAGCTACGTGAGCTGATTCTCACCCCCCCCCTTTGCTATCCCCCCCCTTTCGCCCGGCCCGACCAGCGCAGATCCAAGAAATCCGCGGGGAGCGCCAACAGTTTATGTTTATGGCGTTTTCACTCGTCTTTTGTACTCGAGCTCAGGTGGCAGCACCTGGGGTTTGCCAGGTCCTGCTTCGATTTGGGTCGCACCGGGCTCCGCTGGACCCCCCAGGGCTCACGACAGTGTGGCGACAGCTGCGCGCTCGGCACCATCCGAGGTGGTGAGCTCGTTCTCGACATCGCTCGGACGTGTGCATTTTTTCAGCGAGGACCGTGGAGGAGCATCTGTGGTCATTTAGCGAAACATTCACGCACGATTTCGAAACATGCACGGGGAATGGGCGTCCAAGCGATGGCGAGGTCGATCCGAGTGGCACCGCGCTCCGCTGGAAGCCCCAGGAGCTCACGAAAGTGTCGACCGCTGCGCGTATGACACCCCTCCAGACCATTGCGTTTCGTAGTTGTTCGAACGCCCAGTCTCTGGCCCCGGGACGCTCACAGATCAATCCGCTTAAAAAATGTAGCAGAAGAGTAGGTTTGGGCCTCTGGTCGTGTGTTGTGACGATGTTTCTTTCGCAACGACGGGCGTCAGGAGATCTTATCCATAGAGGCGATGTCCCGTTTGCATCTTGGTCTGGTGTGTTTCCACACAATCTTCAGAAAAGTAGGCAGCTGTGCACTTGGAAGCACCGAGGAAGCGAGGTCCCGTTTGGATCCGGTTAGCACAGCACTCCGCTTGACCTCCACACAAGATCTCCAGTGAGGTGGAGGGGAGTAAGCGGGCAGTTATGTCAGAGGGAGAGAGAGAGAGAGAGCACTAGCACGAGCACGAAGCCATACGCCGTCGGGCGCGTAGGCTAGAGGGACAGGGAGGTAGAGGGACAGAGTGATAGGTAGAGATAGAGAGACAAAGTGAGAGGTGGAGAGACAGAGCGAGATAGAGGGAGAGAGAGAGAGAGAGAGGGAGGGAGAAGGAGAGAGAGAGAGAGGGGGAATAGAGATTGATATATGTATATAGAGAGAGTGAGAGAGGCAGAGAGACAGAGAGGGGGAGGGTGGAGGAAGGGAGGATGCCAGAGGAGGAAAGCAGCTTTAGGCGCTCTATCTGGTCAGAACGAGTGTCCAACATAGGAGGGTTACTGAAAGTCGTGTCGTCGGAGGTCTGCTATTCGTGACCAGTGCAGGCTCCAGTCAAAGTAGTGGGAGCCGCCTCGTTGCAGAAAAAGGATTGCACGGCCGATCGGCGAGGCTCTACTAATCCAATATTCTCGCATGTCTTCGACTGCTCATGTGGTTTGTTTCCACCGCGTCATGACGCTAGTGCCCTCTCTCGCGCTCCACTCGTCTCAGTGATATTGCCCCTCTCATCGCATTTGATGGGATGACGGGCGCTCGGGTAGCGGTTCCAGCTTCATCAGCAGATCAGTTCGATGTTTGGCACCAGCTCAAGACCCAATTCAGTCACACTGTCACGTGTGGGGGGTCGCGCTGCTGATCAACCTGACCCCAGGAGGCCCCCAAATCCTTGCGAGGCCCCCCAAGAACCTCCAGGCCCCCGCCCAAAACTTACTCATCTTCTTCCTCCTCTGCGAACTGCTTGGGAGAAGGACGGTGCCTGGCTGACTTCGAGGACACCTCGCCTGATCCCCCCCAGGTGAAAGACGACGGGCCGAGCGGCCTGGAGAACATCAAGCCTGGGACGAGGCCAGGCTGAAGCACTTGTCGGTCGTTGTCGTGCTCGTCATCCTCGACCTGGCTTTCGCTCTCGTCGTCCTTTCCGTCCTCGTCGTCGCTGTCGTGGTCCTGCTCATCCTGCTCCCCCTCCCCATAAGATGCGACCTTTCGGAGGTCAAATTCAGCGTGGGCGCTAGTAAATCCGTTGTCGGACAAGCGCCATACTCCGACATAGTAATGCTGATCCCGTTTAATCGGGATTCATCGGGCTTAAGTTCTGGATCTAATCTGGTTTATTGCAGCTTAGTGGCTTAGTGGTTCCCTCATCGGGCTTAGTAGCTCTTCGTCGTTATTGCGCAGGCCTCGAAGCAGTGGCCTCCTAACTCCCCCCTCGCTCGCTCGCTACGCCCCCGTGCCCCCTTCGCTGCTCCTCGCTCGCTCCGCCCCCCGGTCTCCTCGCCGTAGCCGTCATTTGTGTTTATTCTCGTCCTGCGTCCCCTCCCTTGTCTCGCTCGCTCGCTCTGCCCCCCGCGCCTGCGTCTGATCCCCTGCCGGCCCCGAGCGCCCGTTTTCGGCCGCCGCCGGACCCTGGCCTCCCGCACGCGCGCGGGCGCAGCTCTTTCTCCC